CTAAATTCCAAAATCAATATTCACAAGAGTATACGTGTTTCCTATTGCCAAAGGGGCCCTTTAGAGTGGTGAGATAAGATCTTCACCCTGAAACCAACAGTGTCCCTTTTCAGCAGGAAGTAGCTAAGAGAATGAAGGAGAAAATTCTCAAAGGAAGAATGCAACGGGAGGAGGAAGTGAGAAGGAGAGGCAGGGCTGAGAGGTTTCACGCAATATGCACCTTATAATAAGCCACAGAATTGAGATCAGAAATAAGGAGGAAGGAGTATGTTTGAACAAGTGTGGCATGTCTATGAAGGCATATCTCGGATTCTGTTTCAAGGCCAGAAATAAAATGCAAGTGTTCTCTTGTTTTGTAGTTAGGGAGTTCTGATGGTGGGAGTAGGGAGGGAGCTGTACTGTTAGACCAGAGGCAGAACTTCTCTGGCAGTTCAAATCCTCCAGCTGCACCTTTGGGGTAAAATGGACTGTCTCCTCCCATGCGATTTACAGCCTCAGAAGACCTGCTGGAGGGTCAGCTATGAGTCAAGTGGTTTGTGATTGTCTTTGTCTCTGGGAACCAACATTGTAAGACCATCCAGAGTTGGTTATATTTCCTGATAGGAATGCAGAGGAATTACTAACTCTATTAAATATATTAAGCCTATTTAAAAATATTCAAACATGGGGAGCTCTGGTGGCCTAGTAGAAAGGAGCTGCAACTACAATCCCAGAGGTGCACGGTTCGAATCCACCAGATGCTCTGCCGGGGAAGGAGGGACAATCTCCTCCTGTACCAGTCAGATTTGATTTGACGGTACACTCACAAAAAAATAATAAAATAATACTAAATTTAAAAAATTTAAAAATTTAAAAAAAATTCAAACATATAAAAAATAAAAACCTAGTTGTCACTGAGCAACTTTCAACTTATGGAGAACTCATGTGCATTGAATAAAATTTCATTCCATGAAGTTTTCAATGACTGGGTTGTTTTATTTCATAAGTAGATCACCACACGTTTCTTCAGAAGTAACTCTCAGTGGACTCAAAGCCCTAGCCCTTCAGTTACTAGCCATGTGGGCTGCTTGTACCTCCCAGGAATGTCAAAACACATCATAATGCCCTGATAATCAAAATAGTTCTAGGACCTGGAACAGAAAAGACTGTTTATGAAATAGAAAAGACTCAGATATATCTAAAAATTAATTATGTCATAAATTGATCATCACCAATCAGTAAAGAATGACATAAGGATACATGATTAGTCATCTGGAAAACAATTACATAGTTTTGCCCCTTGTACTATACACTAAAGTAAAACCTAAATAGATCAAAATTCTACCTAAAAAAAAAATAAACTATAAAGTTTGCTTTGGAAAATGTGAGACAATTCCTTTGAAACCATGAGATTAAAAAGAACTTTTAACCACAAGCCAAACAAAACTCCTATTGGCCCTTCATAAACTCTCCATGGCTGGAACAATATGGGAGGAGCATCTTACAGAGCAGCTGGTAGAATCAAACCATTAGCTTCTCAATAAAGAATACTTAAAAATTGATGAGGACCAAAAAAGGATATCAGTATATAATTCATGAACAGGAAAATACCAAATGGTTCTTACACATATAAAAATATGTTCAACTGATCCATGAGAGAAATGCAAAATGAAAACATACTGCAATACTATTTCTCACTTATACTACCAAGAAAAACTCAGGCTGTGGAGAAACAGGCCCTTGCACCCATTGCCACAAGGCAAGTAAACAGGTACAGTCAGTCAGCCCCCAAGCAAAGCAATCTCACAATAGCTATCAAACTCACAAATGTTCTTATAAGGATTATAGAAGAAGCACTGATGCCTTCAAGCTGTGGGGTTGAAGAAGAGTGCTGAATGTCTCATCTGCCAAAGAACAAACAGATATTCCTTGGAGAAAGTGCAGCCATCAGAATGCTTCTCTGAGGCAAAGATGACAAAGCTTCATCTCACATACTTTGAGCATGGTGTTAGGAGAATCCATCCCTTAGAGAAAGACATTATACTTGAAAAGGAGAGGGTCAGCTCAAGAGAAGATCCTAACAAGATGGACTGACACAGTGACCGCAGCAATGGGCTCAAGTGCATCAGAGATGACAGAATGGCACAGGACAGGAGAGGGTTCAGGTCTGTTTTTTCATAAGGTTGCTATGAATTGTACTAAATGTCCCTTAAAACAACAACATGGCTAATCCTAGTGTTGCTAATGGTAGATCAGCCAGATAACAAAACGTAATTTCATTATGCTGTAATATGTAGAACACTCTTATTTATGAAGTATTCTGGTAAAAATGTGTAAACAGAATTCACAGATCTGCAGGAAGAATTTATGGAAAATATATGGACAGAAAGACAAGTTGAATGTAATAAAGGTAAACCTAGAAAGTGTGGCAGTCCAGAGAAGGATCTCAGTAGAACCAAGAGACTTGAAGGACTTAATTTAACAAAGACTATGCCTGGTCCTAGATTACAGTGAGTAGCTTGGACAAAGATAATGTAAAATAACTTTGGATCAAGAGGAAAATTGGAATGTGACCCCAGGTTCTTCCCCAGACAATAAGTCCATTTGGTTGGACTACGATTCTCAGCATTTTGGATATAATGATATAATGTGGCAGTTACATAAGAATCCTCCATGATCATGCAAAAAATAAATGACTGGAAACCCTAAGTCTCTGTAAACTTTCATTAAAATGAATTTAAAAAAATACAAAAAAGAATCCTCCATGATCCTGTAAAAGGATTAAAGAAAACAAAACTTCACTGCCATTCTGTTGGGGCCGAGTCCTAGCTGGCCCACCAGCAGGTGTCCAAGGCTATAAAGTACCCAGAAGGAGAATGCCTATCATTCTCCCTCGGAGCTCCTGGTAGATCTGAATCACCAGCCTCTGGTTTAGCAATACAACTCCCTACTCACTGTGGCACCAGAGCACTCTAAAGGATTATGAGTAAAATAGAATTCCTTTATCCCATCTTAACCTTTATTCAATGTAACGGGAGTTTCCCCTAGGCTGTCGCCTACACCGCCATTATTTTACAAGAGAGAAAAGGAAAAAGTCCAAGCGAAGAGGAGAGGGGCCTTCTACCAGCAAGATGGAAGAGCCAGGATGGAGCACCTACTTTGGACCTGCGTCTCTGAGCTGAGAAGCCCCTTAACACATGGAATGTCAGGCCCACACTTGATAAAGGAGACAACAACCTTCCTACAGAGTCAAAAGAAGAAGAAAGCCTTGCTCTAGGCCCAGCCCAGTGACTTCAATCCCCAACACTGAGAGAGAACAAGTTTGTTTGTTACAACCATCCTCTTGTGGTATTTCTATTACAGCAGCACTAGATAATTAGACACCTAGAGACTTAGGAGAAATCAAAGTACTGAAATTGAAAGGTGAAAGTTGCTGCTTGCATGTTCTTTTTTTTTTTTTTTTTTCTCTCTCTCTCAACTGTAAATCTTTTACGAGGACAAAGCCCATTTTTCTCCTGAGAGGCAGCGGGTAGACTCAAATTTCTGACCTTTCAGTTAATAGCCCAATACATTACAACATATTGGGCTACCACTAGCGTGTTACAGACACAGAAAGGTAAGTAGGTGGATAGATGATAGAAATACTGAAATAGAAAAAGATAGAAAAAATCCAGGAAGATAAATGATTACATTTTGGTGGTAAGAATATATTGCTTTTATTTTTTTTCCTTTTTAAAAAAATTTATTATTAGTTTCAATGAAAATTTACAGAGACTTTGGATTTCCATTCATTCATTGTTAAACTTTTCTCCTCTCCCAACCCTCCCCCTAGTACACTACCCTCTTGGAAAAGTAGAAAAATTCTTTCATTGTTTTACAATCCCTCCCCTCTCAGGTCTACTCCACTATGCAGCCTTCGCTCTGCATAATGACATAGCCCTTTTAAACAGTTTTCTCCCTCATCTGTTTCAATGCAGTATACGTTAATGAACCCATCTTTCTCAGTGTGGTAGTTCGTAGTTTTATATCACGTCTATGTATTGTTTCTGTAATATCATGCTCTCAATTTATCCTACAGATATGTGAATACATACACAAAGTGACAGAGTACCATAAGTATTTATGGCAAGTCAGGGTTGGTATTGTTTGCAACAGTAAAAATTTAGAAGCAATCTAAATGTCCATCCAGAGACTGATTAAATAAATCGTACATCCAAGAATAACATGAAAACTCACTTTGAAAATGTCAAGATCTAGAGCAATGTATACAGAATGCTGTCTTCGGCGTAAAAGCTGAATGGAATGAGAATATTCATTTGTGTTTGCTTGCAAATGCCTAAGAAAATTAAAAAAGAAACAAAGAATAGTGGTAACAGATGTAAGGAAGATGAGCCAAAAGGGGAGAGGAAGAGTTTAGGCTGCGTACTTCAGGCATGTCGCTAGGAGGGGCGAGTCCTTGGAGAGGAACATGATGCTGGGAAGGGTGGAGGGTTGGCAAAGGAGAGGAAAACCCTCAACCAGGTGGACTGACAGCATGACTGCTGCAATGGGTTCTTGTGTACCAGGAAGTGTGAGGATGGCACAGGACAGAACACAGCTCAGATCTTTTATTCATAGGGTTGCTATGAGTCATACTTGACTCCATAGCACCTAATAACAATGGCAACATTCTTTGTAGAGAGGAGGAAGGAAATAGTTAAATACATTGTCTTTTCCAAAAAATGAGAGTCCGTCATATTTTAAGCGCTTCAGTTCCTGTGTAAGAGAAGAGTGTATCTTCAGGAAGGGAGCTCTGGTGACCTAGCCTGCAGCCACTTGTGCTATTTGCTCAACTGTCATGCCTTTCTGGCAGTTGGACCCCACCAGTCATTCCTCAGGAGAAAGATAAGCAATCTCCTATAATGCATTTACAGCCACCCCAAAACCAGCCGCTGGCAGGTCAGCTTCAAATGCATGGCATTGAGTGTGATTTTTCAGCACAGAAGAGGCCAGAAAAAAAGGTGCTTAGCATGCTGGCTTACCGATTGATCTTCCTCTTTTGCTGAGATTTAATCACCGTGTTTTCTTCATCTCTCTTCTTTAACACCTGGAAGTTATACTCTAACTTCTCTTGATTGAGTTGACAAGTTGCCTTCATATGCTGAAGCTGTTGCTCCAGAATCTAAAGTTTAAAAAAAATGAACAATTTTTCCTGGTATGATTTGGACTATTATGATTATAATCAGGTATGGTTACAACATACATGAAGCCACCTGATAGTTAATCCTGAAGTCATGTCAGAGAAACCTGAGGGACAAGTAGATCAACCTGGACTTTTTTTTCCTTTCTCAAATAATTGGTTTTATGGTCCATTCCTTTCAGTCTTTAGAACTGTGAAGAAATTAGTCAACATCAGAAATTTCTCTTTAAATATGAGATAAACATCTGCCCTTCAGAGCTAATGCATTACTCCACACTACATTAGAGGCAGATGGGGGGGGGGTTAGCTAGTTGGGTGTTTTTAAATAAAATTTTTATTTTATTCCTTTGAGTTGTGGTGCTGGAGAAGTATTGACTATACCGTGGACTGCTAAGAGAACAAACAGGTCCTTCATGGAGAAGGTGAAACCAGACTGCCCTTTGGAGGCAAGGATTCTGAAGCTCCATCTGACATACTTTGGATATGCTGCAAAGAGGGACAAGTCCTTGGAGAGGGACAACATGCTTGGGAGGGTGGGTGGAGGGACAGCACAGTAGGGGAAGACCCTCGATGAGATGGATTGATTCAGTGACTGGGATAATGGGGGTAGGTAGGTGTGTCAGAGACAATAAGGTTGGCACAGGATAGAGCAGGGTTTGGGGCTCTTGTACATAGGGTCACTATGAGTTGCAAGCGACTTGATGGCACATAACAATACAACAACAACTGGTTTACTTAAAAAGTTTGTATACATTGTTTTTCACACCAGATCTTTCCCATTTCCTTTACTCACCCCTCCCTCCACCCATCAAATTGTGCAACCCTATGATTAGCTACCCTCCCCCATCCTCACCTCTCTGCTCCCACCCTTCCCCCCATAGATCCTCATACACGTTTTACTGGATATCTATTTCTACAATAATGGTTTCTTACAGTATATTTGTCCTTATGGGACTGAATTAGTTCACTTAGCATAATGCTACCAGGACCAAGTTAAAGGTCAAATAGATAAAACATAGATCATTCAGATGCCAGGGTATAGACTATGAACCTAAAGCCTAAGAAAGATTATACAGTTAGCACTTTCAAGTCCAACTCACTCTGGAACTTTGCACCAAATAAATCCTTTAGAGATATGAGTAACTCCACTAAAAGTAGCATAAAAGTTAACATTGCCACAAAACTTAAAATTTCCCCACCCTTAGCAGTAGAAAATGGTAGTATGTTCAGAAAACCATGTTTTTGGATATCCACTGTCTATGTTCATTTATCAGTAGACATTCAGTGGGTGCCTAATACATGTCAGAAGGAACCATGGTGGCTCTATATTTAAGTACCAGACAACGAACTAAAATCACCAAACAATATACACATAATGATCCTAGAAATGCTCTATATGGAACAAGTATTTGAATAAAGCCTTCTTTTATAGATTCTTTAAGATATGAGAAAGGAAAAACCAAGTCCGTCACCAAAATGGTAACTTATTATTTCTCAATTACTCTATGTTAGTCAGTTTTCATTTTGATTAAAATATTCTTACAAGTTATTTACTTTTCTTAGTAAAAACTTCTGAGTGTGAAAATAAGACTTACTCACTATAGACAGCTTAGGGGGCTAGTTGTAGGGGGTTGTCTGCTAGCCCAAGAGAGGCACCTCTCTGGTGGTTCAAATCCACCAGTCCCTCTGATGGGGAAGGATGGACAATCTCCTCCTGGGCACAGTCTCAGAAAACCCGCTGGAGGGTCAGCTGTGAGTGGGTTCTGACTTCACAGCAATGACTTGATCTGAGACAACTTGGAAAGTACAACATAGGAAAATTTAAAAGGAAGGAGATGAAGAACTAGCCGTAATTCCACCACTCAAAGGCAACGTGAGTATGCCCACACCCTGCAGCACAAGGCACTGGCCCCGCACTGGGGGCCCCGTTCTGAGCATGATTAAAATTTATTTTGAAATTTCTGACTTGCACAACATCCCCATGAAAGATGCTGGCACTGTGTCCTCATTTTAGGCATAATTGTCTTAGATGATCACAAGCCAAGTCTCTCTGCGGCCTGTACTCTCCTGAGATGGCCCTAACGGCCTACTAGGGGAAGGGACTCGGGAGTTGTTGCTGAGCAGAGGCAATGATTTATCACCCTTCACATGAAATCAGGCCTGCTGCTTCCAGTGTGATCAACCCCAGATATGATGGAGTAGATTAGGGATCAGAAGCCAAACCAAACATGCATAGGATGAACACAAGTCAGGCTGCTGGTCTGCAAAGCAACTCCTATCCAACGTCCAGGGGGGAAAGCTCCACGTTTGGATGGGAACAAAGTGAGAGTGTCTCAACACTCACATGAGAGCTCCCCACACACACACCCCACCCCTGAGCGTCTCTCAACTAGAATGACACTGTGGGGACTGGACCAATCTTCCCCAGGTCCAAGAAACTCAGAGTGCTTGGACATCAGCCCTGATGATCCCAGAGCACCCCATCCTTCTCAGACTTAACTGGCCATAACTACTAACTCATCCACCCAGTCAGAACTCATAGCTGACCTGCCAGCCAGCCTTCAAAGGCTGTAAATCGCACAGGAAGAGAACACCCATCTTTCTCTTACTGAGCCTCTAGTGAATTAAAATCACTAGAGAGGCTCTGTCTTTGGATTAGGAGTGCAGATCCCTACAGACTAGGCCTCCAAGAGCTCTCCCTAACTGGAGACAGAATAGTGTTTATATTGATAGCACAGTGAGAAGCATGTTAGTTATAATCGTGTGCTGAATCAAGTGAACTCTCCTGTGAATTTAATTCTGAAAGGCAGATTATTATGCAACAATTGTTATGTTAATGGATCGTGCTTTGATCCTATATAGTGTATTTTCACATACGCTCTGAAATAAGAGAGGAAAAAAATATATTGACATCGCTTCTTTTGTTAGTTTGGCAAAACCAATGTTAGGATCTCATTCAGTTAAACACAGTTTGCAACACTCCTCTCTAAGATAATTCAGTCTTGTCTTTATCTTTGGTAATGGAAAGAATTTTAATCTGAGAAGTTTTTATAAGGAAAGAACCCTGCAGTCACCTCATTGCTGTAACTGACATTTGTTTACAAGTGCAGTTGAACATTTACTGGAGTTGTTAAATGCTATCTGGTCAACTCTAGTTCGCAACAATCTTGTACATAAAAAGATCAAAACCTTACCCTTTCCTGAGCCATTTGTACAATCTCCACCATGCTAAACCTATTGTTGCAGTTCCTGTGTCAAACTTTCTTGTTGCGGGTCTTCCTTTTTTTTCCTCTGGCCCTCCAACTTTGCTAACTTGGAAGGAAAGCAACTCATAGCGACCCTGTGAACAGCAGGTCTGAACCCAGTCCTACGCTGTGCCATTGTCACACTTCCTGACATACTACAGCCCATTGTGCCAGTCTTCCTCTCCTTCGTCAACCCTCTACCTTTCCAAGCATCATGTCTCTCTCCAAGGAATAGCAACATTCCTGAAGTACGTGAGGCCAAGCCTCAACATCCTTCCTACAAAGAGCATTCCGGCTCTACCCTCTCCAAGACACATTCATTGCTTTCTTAATATGATGTGCTTTTCCCAGGACTGGATTCTCCTGGCAACATTCTCCAAAGCATGTGAGACAAAATTTCGACACCCTGCACCCTGGCTGCATTTTCTCCAAGACAGATTTGTTGCTACTTTTCAGAATCTGTAGTACAACCAGTACTCTTTGCCAACACCATAATTCAAAGGCAACAATTAATTCTTCTGTTTTCTTTATTCATTGTCCAAACTTCACAGGATTATGAAGCAACTGAAAACACTATGTCTTAAAAAAAGGAAAAAAAACCCTATGACTTGGCATTAATTTTTAGAGATTAACGCCTTAATCTTTAAACTGATATCTTTACTTGATCTTTACTGGCTTACTTTAGCATTTTAAAATAGTTCTTGGCAGGTTTTCCCAATGCAACGTGTCTTATGATTTCTTGATTGCTGCTACCGTGGATGTGTGGACTGTGAATCAAAGTAAAATAAAACGTTGACAATTTAAATCTTGTCCCCATCTAGTAAGATGTTGTCTATGTGTCCAGTAGTAAAGATTTTGTTTTCCTATGAACGTGGAGAAGTGGACAGAAGGCGATGCTACCAAGGCAAAGGTGGATGACTTTTAATCCGTGGCCCTGGGGCCTGTCTTTCATTGTTTTTGTTCAGACATTCCTCTAGGTCGTACAGCGGTAACTTGTGGTTGCTGTGAGGGTGAACTCTGTGACATTGAAGTGTCAAATGCGTTAATGGCTGGCTACCCAATGCGGACAGAGAGTGGGGTGGAGCTCCCCAATTAAAACAAGCTTGGAAGGAGGAGTGGCATCCACTTCCACAATAGCTTGCCTCCGGAAACCCTATGAACCTGGAGAGAGGATGAAAAGCACCCAAGCGTCGAGGACTCTCCTTCATAGGGTCGCTATGAGTTGCCTGCAACTCGGCACTTAACAACAACAACAACAATGTCCAGGCAGGGTATTTTGTCTCTTCTAGACTTGTAACATTTTTTTTCAGCTTCAATTTGAACTCGAATTCAAGTAACTGATAGTCTGTTATTGTCAGTCCCTGGCCTTGTTTTTAAAGCTGATAGTGGACTTTTCTATTTGTTTTTTTGTGTATTCCCTCAGGTGAAGTGCATGTGTCCTTTCATGGTTTGTTTATTCATTTGTTTGTTTGTTTGAAAAAAGTACTTGCAAGGAATAAATAATTGTATAGAATCCCATCATGAGATTTCCAGTCTTATTTCTGTCACCAAGGCCATATTTCCCAACAACCTTCTTTCTCTTCTTTCTTTCTTTCCCTTCCTTCCTCCCTCCCTCTTTCTTTCTTTCTTTCTTTCCTTCCTTCCTTCCTTCCTTCCTTCCTTCCTTCCTTTCTTTCTTTCTTTCTTCTACATTCCAAGCACAAATTATTATTAATGCATCTTGACTGCATGTTGAATGAATCACAGATTGCAAAAGTTGGTAGAAATACTCAATTTCTTCATCTTTGGCTTTAGTGGTTGGTGCATATAGAATGATGCTCAATAAGAGAAGTAACAGGTCTTCTTTGCATGTTTATAGATATTATCTCTCCCTGTCAGCACTATCCTTTGCCTCCTCACACAGAATGGCACAGGATGGAACAGGGTTCAGATCTGTTGTTCACAGAGTCACTACGGGTTGTTTCCAACTCAATGGCACCTAACATCATCGGCATTATACGTCAAGACAGGTCCTCCATTTGTCATTCCCAGCTTACCAGGTCATGTGATTTCTGATTGAAAATAGTCAATACTGGTTAGTCCATCTCAGCTCAGTAATGTCTAAAATGTTGGTCTTCAGATACTCTATTTTCCTTTTTACAGTTTTCCCTCATACATTGCATGTTCCAGTAATTATTAACAGATGCTGCAGTTGTTTCTCCTCCTTTTCAGACCTTCATTGGGTGACAACTTGACTCCATCTGTATTGTTAAGGTTGACCTGGAGGAGCAGCTGTTCCCTCGCTGCATTTTGATTGTCTCCCAAGCTAAACAGCTCATTCTCCAGCACTGTTCCCAGACAATGTTCTGCACATATCCACGTGGTTTTTGAGGGCCTGTTATTTAAAAAGTGAATAAACAACAATCCTGCTTCTTAGTGTGTCTTAGTCTAGAAGCCCCGTTGAAACCTGTCCACTATTACTGATTCTGCTGACATTTGAAATACTGGAGGCAAATCTTCCAGCATGACAGCAACACATACATGTCTACAGTACAGCAAACTGACAGATGAGTTTGGGAACATTTATGCATTATTTTTCTTTTCTCTAGTGGAAAACATTTGCTCCTGTTCTTTGCTAGAGTTGGTACTTGGAAGGTTTATATCTGGGAAGAGGCAATACAGACAGTCTCAAGAAGGAAAGCTACTTCTCTAACCCCATGCCGACTTCATGTTTACGATGCCACTGCAGAGTTCTAGGCAGTGCTGTCTAAAACCTTACAGATCTATTAACAGTCTTGTGTTTCTCCAAGTACAACTTATAGGAATCAATTTGGCATTTCATAGGCTAGTCAATATTCTTCTCCAGCACCACAAATGAAAGGCATTGATTCTTCTCCTGTCATCCTTAGTCACTGTCCAGCTTTCAGATGCATAGCAAGCAATTAAAAAGACCACTGCTCAGATCAGGCATACTGTATTACAGACTGACATCATTTCTCTTTAGCACTCTAGAGAGGTCTGTGACAGAAGATTTTCCCATTGTAACTTGTCTTTTGGTGTACTGACTGCTAGTGCAATAGGTTTTCAGAGGCTGGGAAATGCATGAGAGTAGACCTCTCATCTTTTTTCCACAGAGCAGCTGGTGATTTCCAGTGATTGGGATCAGGAGCATAAACCCCTACTACTTACTAGACCACCAGAACACTACTCTTACAGATTTCTACTGTTCCTATTGCTAGCCCTCTTCCCTATGACAGACTGGTAAAATCTGTTGTCTTGACCTATATATAAAAAAAAGAATAAAGAACTGAAATTTGACCAAAGGCTATGTGGGAAGTTTTGACCTGACACATTTCTCTAGATAGAGCCTAACATGAATAGTTCGTGCTTGAACACTTTGATGTAACTACATCTAGTTGAACAGAATGAAAGTTCACTTTCATTCAAATTGACTAAAAGTTGGGTTTTTTCTGTTTCTTTTAAAGAAAGGGTTAGTAGTCTCTACATCTAATTATAATGAGAGAGGTTTTTCTTTAACTCACATTGAAACATAAAATCCAGGTTTGGAAAGGACTTTAGAAACTGGCAAGTCTAACCTCTTTCCCACTGCAGGAATTCCCCTTCAACAACAAAAATACACTATGACTCAGCCTTTGGATATTTTAGGAGATAAGAGACTTTGTTTTGTGGCACAACCCCTGTTAGGATTGGGGGCTCTATTAGAAGATTCTGTCTGATAGTGAGTCTGAACCTTCCTCACTGCAGTTTCCAACCATCAATAGGAGGCTGTTAAGATCACTGGGAAGGATAAAGGGTTCTGAGTCAGGCACACCTGGGTTTGAATCCAGGATCTACTATTCACTAGACATGTGGCAATGTTCTTGAACCTCAGTTTCTTGATTTAGTAAATGGTGTTAATTATAGCTTCCTTTCTTACTTTTCTGAGGATTAGTGATGTTGTGTGCTAAGTGACTGCATTATGATAGATAGTTATTGTTGTTATGTGTTATGAATCGGAACCAACTCACAGCTGATTCTCTAGCAGGTTTTCAGAGACTGTAAATTGCAAAGAAGGCAATAGCTTATTTTTCTCCCTAAGAGCAGCTAGTGCATTCAAACCAAGTGCCTTTGGGACAGCAGCACAAATCATTAACACTACGACACAAGAGGTCAACTTCTAGTCATTGTTATTATTGTTGTTATGTGCCATCGAGTCGTTTGCCACTCATAGCGACACTATGTACAACAGCCCTAAACCCTGCTCTGTCCTGTGCCAATCGCAATGCCTCTGACACAGCCATCCCGATTACCCCAGTCATTGAATCAACAATTAACAACAACAACAACAGTAGTCTTAGCTTTGGGCCCTCTGACGTAATTACCTTTCCCTCAAGACATGTTCCCCTGCCAGGCTAAAATCACAGTCCCTTTAACTATTCCTCACATACCGTGATCTCCAGACCCCTCTAAGCACGCTGGTAGTTTCCCAGTGGTTTATTAAGGAAACTATTCTTCCATGTATATCTCAGACATGAACTCCTTCAGAAATGAACATTTAAAAGTAAGTCAAATTAGTAGCTATTTGTGGGCTGGACCAGTTGCAGAACATCCGAGCAGCCCTCACAATGACACATTCACAGGCGCTCTCAGCTCTGCCACCCAGATGCCCACGTGAGGGTCAATCGCTCTACCTGCACGTCCTGCTCCAGCTTGATCTTGATCGTGCTGTACTCCTCACAGTCTAAGATCCTCTGCTTGTTCAGCTGCCTTTCATATTCCTCTACCTTGTTAATGCGGTTCCGAAGATACTCCAGCTGAAGGCACAAAGGCAAGGGAGGAGTCAGACACAGTCCTGTGTCGGCCCTTCAGAGGCCTGACACGCAGCGCCCAGTGAGAGGTGTGAGCATTTCAGGACTCCAGAGGGCCACCAGGGGTACTGTGGCTGGTAGAGCAAATTAGCAATCAAAGGAGAGATTAATGGGACTGTGGAGCCACAGCAGTTCTCACCATCACAACCTCCGTCTGTAAAGCCCTATTGGTTAAAGAGGAAGAAGAGTAATGAATGCATGTTGTGGCAATCCTGCCCAAGATCCAAAAAGGCTGAGCAAAGTCAGCCACAGAAGAATCACTCCGATTCTACTTGATGTTCTCCTACCTCCCTCTACCAGCCTACTTCACGTACCTCTTTGGCATTGTGAGCCTGCAGGGCCCGCTCCCATTTCTTCTTATTGCTCACTAGTAACTCCTGCCGTTCTATCTCGAACGCTTTCTACAATCAAGAAGGAGAAAGTTCTCGTGCCAGTTTTGATTGGGCAGGTCTTACAAGTATTCAAGTGAAGTTGTCTTGTCATCAATCACACAGTCAAATCCAAATGCAGGTTAGCCAAGTGTCATGTAACCATGGCATTGTGTTACTATAGAATGTAGTTATTATGTAGCCTTATAATTCACACAAATCTAGATGGGATATTAATTCTTTTATTCTCTCATGCTCACTTAAACACCAACTATAGTGTGTAGATAACTCAACTCCATTGAGTTGGAACTAACCTGTGGCTGACCGTCCAGGAGGTGTCTGGGAGACTTTAAATCTACAGGAGGAGACTGCATATCTTTCTCCCTGGAACCACCCATGTATTCTAACCACCAGAGAGGGATGGCCTTTGAGTTAGCAATGCAAATCTCTATGCACCATGCCACCAGAGCTCCCTCAGTGAAGGAAAAGGCTATCTGCAGTAAGGGAATGAGTGGCACAATACTGTAAGAGAAAGTGAAGGAACAGATAGGCGCTCGAGAGATACAGACATCAGCAGTAAACATTATTACATGCATAATCCCACACTACGAATGAAGCAAGCACTAATCAGCAAGTGACTATACAGGCAGGCAGGCTTTATGAAGAAATATGGATAGCTAAAAAGATGAATCTAGGAGAATTACACTCATGGCCATACATTGCTTTGTCAGATGGTATTTTCACATGCATGTTTGTATGTGATGTAAATAGAACCATGAATATGGTACAGCTAAAATATCAGGGAACAATCAATGTCACAAAAGGAAATGTTATATAAACTTCTTTTTTATCATTTTTATGTGTGTGTACCGTCAAATCAGATCTGACTGGTACAGGAGGAGATTGTCCCTTCTTCCCCGGCAGAGCATCTGTTGGATTTGAACCGTTCACCTCTGGGATTGTAGTTGCAGCTCCTTGCCACTAGGCCACCAGAGCTCCCCAATAAACTTCTTAATCATAACCAAATCTTCTGAGAGAATGTGTTAATGGTTCTGGGGCCTTACAACCACAGTCATTTTTTTATTTCTTATACAGATTTATTTACAAAGTTTGAATACATTGTTTTTCATAAAAGATCCTTCCCATTTCCTTCACCCTACTACCTATCAAATTGTGCAACCCTATGATTAACACCCTACCCACCCTCATCCTCACCCCTCTATTTTCACCCTCTCCCACCCCCACATTGGATCCTCATTCTACAATGACAACCACAGTCTTAGGGGACATCAAGGGCAACTGGTATAACACAGTTCACAAAGACATGATGATGCGTGGTGACTGGGATCTTCAAAGTGTGTAAGCAGCCATCTAAGGTGCAACACTCTCTCCCTGTCTAGAACAGAGATGAGAAGAGAAAAACAAAGATGTGTATTAGCAATTTGTTCAATGGTCTAACAGACCAAGTGAACGTCAATCTCCACACCATGAGACCAGAAGAACTGGATGGTGCCCGGTCATCTCTGCTGACCATTCTAAAAGGGATCACAGGGAGGAAGAAAAATGTAGAATTAGAGTAAAAAATCACAAAATATCCAGGCTTTCTGGTGTGAAAGAGACTAGATGAACCCCTAAAACTATGGCCCTTAGCAGCCCCTTGAACCTGGAACTAAACATTCCCAAGGCTCAACTTTGAACCAAATGATAGACACACTTATAAGTGAACGCTGTACCAGGGAGGAATTTACTCCTGAGAACAATCCATCACACGTGTTCATAGAGGAAAAAACTGCCTCTGGAGGAAGCTCAGAGGGCAAGAAAGGGAAGGAAAGAAGGATGAACTGAAACAGGAAACACAAGGAAGAAGTGAGTGAAAGGTTTCAGATCAAAGCCAAGAACCACACCGAGGTATAAACATTTCTCAAAGTTTATTGGGCACCAGGCTCCTCAACAACAGGAGTAGCGCTGGGGGGTGGGTTTGGGCGAGCTTAGATGGGGCTTTAGCAAGCATGCTATTTCTTTATTAGTTAGTACAGTTGAGAGGGTTGTGAGATGAGCTGGCATTGTAGTAGCTCATTCGTGCATTAATTTTCTGGGACTTCCTGGTTTTGAAAAAAGTCTTGACATGGAACTTTCTGAGTTCTAGTTTTGGTAAATGTCCTAAAATGAGACTCTCTGGTTTGGGGAAAAGTCCAAAAACAGGACTTTCTGAGTTCTGGTTTTTAGCAAAAGTCTTGATACGAGACTTTCTCAGTTGCGCTTCAACCTCCATTTTTTTTAGCCTACCAATGAGAAGAGTGCTTACCAAGTGGGGGTTTTAATCAATGTCACAAAATAAAGTGTATATGAATTGTTGAATAGAATATCAATTTGCCCTGTAAACATTCATTCAAATTACAATAGGTGGAGGTAGGGAGAGGCTCCAGGGAGCAGACTTTTGTTCATGGTTGTACTCTGAACCTCTGAAATAGCACGTGGGATATAGTACACACCAACCGCTCACTGGGCAGACCCAACCCTCTTCCCAAGTGCAAGAAGCAGCCCACTGCTTGTAGCCCACTGCACCTCAGTGAGAGCGAGCTCCTGGCGGTAAGTCTTCATCACACTCTTTACTTGTTCTTCCATCCTCTCCAGGAGCAGGCGGATGTCATCTGACTGTTTCTTTAAATCCTTCATGTATAGGCCATCTTTTATCTTTAACTCCTAGGAAACAACATGTTGAAAAACCAGTCACTAAACAAGGCAAAAGAAAGAAGTGGCAAGGACAGTCCATCTTTCTCATCAGAAACTGGAAACACCAGGAATTAAATCTGTGTTCAATGTGTGAGTGCTTCAGGGAAGTCTTAGAAGGCCTAGGAGAGGAAGGAGGTAGAGGGGATGGACTCAGCTTTGCACAGAGCACTAAACAAGCTGCATAGAATCAAACAGCCCTGCAAGCCATGAGAAAGTCTAAGATGTCCCAGGTGAATAACTGATTCATGTCCAGGTTTCAACACAAAATCACACTATCTACTGCAGTTCTAAGGTAAAAACGTAAGCATCTGAAAGAGCATGTGCTAGGAAAGCATCTCTACTACTAAGCACCCAATCACTTGCTATGCATCTGAGACCTGGACAATGAATAAGGATGACTGGAAAAGAATTGATGCCTTTGAGCTGTGGTGCTGGAGAAGAGCACTGAACATCCACCCTCAATCAGGTGGATTGACGCAGTGACTGCTGCAGTGGGCTCTTGTCAGGAAGGGTAGGGATGGCACAGGACAGGACAGGGTTCAGATCTTTTGTTCATAGGGTCACTAAGAGTCATGCTCGACTTCATGGCAACAATAACAACAAATACAGGTGTTTTTTTTCTTTTAATTAAAAACAAGTTACATAAAAAGATAAAATTAAAAATAGCCATATATCTAGATGAAGGCAGAGGTTTTTTTCTTTTGGTTAAAAGGTTGTCACTTGAGTCAGTAGTCATCAGAGCTTTAAATCAAACTACTAATGACAATGGACACCATTTTCCTTCCCCTGTTGTTGCCATGTGTCATCGAGTGAGAGCTGACTCCTGGCTGACCCTCCAGTGGTTTTCGGAGACTGTAAGTCACACAGGAGGATACTGCCCATTTTCCCCCTGTACAGTAAACTGGTGGATTCAAACCAACTGCCTTTGGTATGGCAGCACAAATTCTAGCCATGGGCCACCAGCTGTTGTTGTTGTTTGGTGCTGTTGAGTCATAGACGACTCATAGCAACCCTATGTACAAGAGCCCTAACTGCTGTTCTATCCTGCGCCAACCTAGCCATCTCAAATGCACTCATTCCCACTACTCCAGTCACAGAATCAATCCACTTCATCGGAGGTCTTCCTCTCCTGCGCCACCCATCCACTCTGCCAAACATGATGTCCCTCTCCAAGGACCAGTCCCTCCTTGCAACATGCCCAAAGTATGTCAGATGAAGCTTCAGAATCCTTGACTCCAAGGAGCATTCCGGCTTCACCTTCTCCAGGACAAACCTGTTTGTTCTCCTAGCAGTCCATGGTATATTCAATATTCTTCTCCAGCACCACAGATCAAAGTCATGAATTCTCTTTCTATCATCCCTATTCACTGTCCAACTCTCTGACCCATAGCACATAATTGCGAAGGCTATAGCCTGGATCAGGTGCACCTTAGTCCCCAGCCTGATGCTGTTTCTCTTCAGTACTCTTGAGAGATCCCTCACAGCTGACTTTCCCAATGCAATTAGTCTCCTGATTTCCTGGCTGCTGTTACCAAGAGTGTTGATTGTGGAACCAAGTAAACTAAAACTGTTAACTATCTCAATCTCTTCACCATCCATACTGATACTGCCAATTGGCCCAGTGGTGAGAATCTTTGTTGTTTTTTTTTTCTTAAGCTTCAATCCATATAGGAGGCTGCAATCCTTGACCTTCTGTAGCAAGTGCTTCAGGTCCTCCTCAGTTTCAGCAAACAGGGTTGTGTCATCTGTATAACACAGGTTGTTGATGACTCTTGCACCAATCCTGATGCCACACTCCTCCTCATACAGCCCAGCGTCTTGGATGATCTGTTCTGCATACAGATTGAAAAGGTATGGAGACAAAATACATTCCCGACGGACCCCCTTCTGGATTTTGAACCGTGTAGTGTCTCCTTGCTCTGTTCTGACAACTGCCTCTTGGTCCAAGTATAGCTTTTGCATTGGTACAATCAAATGTTCTGGGATTCCCATTCTTCTCAGAGTCAGACACAGCTTGTTGTGATCCACACAGTCAAAAGCCTTTGCATAGTCAGTGAAGCACAGATAGACATTCTTCTGGTATTCTCTGCTTTTTGCCAAGATCCATCTAACATTAGCTATAATATCCCTAATAACACGACCTCTTCTAAACCCAGCCTGCACATCTGGCAGTTCTCTGTTGACATATTGCTCCAAATGTTTTTGGATAATTTTCAGCAGAATCTTGCTTGCATGTGATATTAATGATATCGTTCAATAATTCCCACACTCTGCTGGGTTACCTTTCTTTGGAATGGGAACAAATATTGATCTTTTCCAGTCAGTCGGCCAGCTGGCTGTTCTTGGAACAACTTGTGAGTACACCTAGGGCAGTGTCTGTTCGTTGAAATATGTCAATCGGTATGCCATCAACTCCTGGAGCCTTGTTTTTTTGCCAATTCCTTCAGAGCAATTTGAACTTCCTCCTTCATCACCATAACTAAAATGAAAAAAAAAAACAACCCTACAACTCAAACCAAAACAACCACCACCACACACAGAAAGTAACGAATGTTGGTGAGGATGCAGGGAAATTGGAATCCATATACATTGCTGGTGGGGATACAAAACGATATTGCCACCATGGAAAACAGAATGGCAGTTCCTAAAAGAAACTAAAAACAGACCAACCAAACGGCCCAGCAATACACTGCTAAGTATATACCAAAAGAACTTGAAAGCAGCGCACTAAGCTCACTGGTTGTAGTAACCAAAAGACGGAAATAACCTAAATTCCCATCAACAAATATATGTTGTTGTTGTTGTTGTTGTTGTTGTTGTTATGCATCACTGAGTCACCTGTGTCTCATAGTGACCCTATGTACAACAGCTCTGAAGCCTTCCCTAGCCTGAGCCAGTCTGACTCTGGCATACCTATCCCTATTACCCGAGTTACTGTGTCAATCCATTTCATCTGGGGTCTTCCTCTCCTGTGTGGTCCCTTAGCATAATGTCCTTCTCCAAGCACTGGCCTGCCCTGGCAATGTGCCAAAGTATGTGAAACAGAACTTCAAAATCCTTGCCTCCAAGGAGAAACTTGGTTTCACCCTCTCTAAAACAGACCTGTTTGTTCTCTTGACAGTCCATGGTATGTTCAAGACTCTTCTGCAGCACCACAATTCAAAGGTATAAACTCTTCTTCTGTCATCGTTAGTCACTGTCCAGCTCTCAGATGTATAGAAAGTAATCGAGAAGACCATGATCTGGAGTCATCAGGTGCACCTAAGTCCCTAGACTGACATCAGTACTCTTTACTACTTTGGAGAGATCCCTGACAGCAGACTTCCTCCTGACTGCTGGTCCCAAGAGTGTCAATTGTGGAGCTAGGTAAGCTGAAGCTGTTAACAACTTTTATCTTGTCTCCATCTCTTTTGGTCCAGTGGTGAGAATCCTTGTCTTCTTGAGGTAGAGCTTCAATATGTACTAAAGACTACAGTCCTTGACCATCTGCAGAAAATGCTTCAGGTCTTCCTCAGGGTTTTTATGAGTCTTCCTCCAATCTGATACCACATTCCTCCTCATAAAGTCCAACCTCTGAATGATCTGTTCTGACTACAAATTGAAAAGGTATGAAGACAGGATGCACCCCTGACGAACTCCTTTCCTGATTTTGAGCCATGCAGTATCTCCTTGCTCTGTTCTAAGGACTGCTTCTTGGTCAAAGTATAGATTGCACATGAGCACAATCAAGCATTCTGGGATTCCCATTTTCCTCAAAGTTAGCCACAATTTGTTGTGATCCGCAAAGTCAAATGCTTTTGCATAGTCAGTGAAATACAGATAGACATCCCTCAGTATTCTGCTTTAGCCAAGATCCATCTGACATGTGTGATAATGTCTCTAGTGCCACAGCCTCTTCTAAACCCAGCCTATATCTCTAGTAGTTCTCTATCAATGTACTGTTCCAGTAATTTTTTTATAATCCTCAGCAGGATTTTGCTTGGATGTGTTATTGTTTGATAATATTCACCTTCTGTTGGGTCACCTCTTTTTTGGAATGAGAATAAATATGGATCTCTTCCAGTCATTTCCTGATCAAGTACTTGTCCTCCACATTTCTTGGTGAGTACATCCAGGGCAGCATCTGTTTGTTGAAATATGTCATTTGGTGTCCCATCAATTTCTGGATCCTTGTTTTTTGCCAATTCTTTAGAGCAGCTTGAACTTCCTTCTTCATCACTGTTTGCCTCTTGTTTCATCAAATTCTTCTGTATCAGCCAATTCCTTTTGGTTCAATGACTTTGTGTACTCCTTCTATCTTCTTTTAATACCTCCTGGAGCATTCATTTCTGCCTACAGCATCCTTAAGTATTGCCACTAGAAGCTTGAACCTGTTCTTCAGTTCCTTCAGCTTAAGAAATGTTGAGCGAGTTCATTCCTTCTGATTTTTCAACTCCAGCTCTCTGTACATTTCATTATAATACCTTGCTTTGCTTTTCTTCCCAAGACAACCTTTGAAATCTTCTGTTCAGCTCCTAAACTTCTTGCTTTCTTTCCTTAACTTTGGTTTCTCACGACACTCAAGTGCAGTATTTAGAGTCTCGTCTGACATCCATCTTTGTCTTTTCTTCTTCCTCTGTTTTTGTAATGATGTTTTGCATTCTTCCTGGATGATATTCTTGATACCCTCCCACAGTTCATCTGGTCTTCACTCATTAGTGTTCAAACCTGTTCCTGAGATGGTTTTTATTTCAGGTGGGATAGACTCAAGGTCAAACTTTGGTTCCTGTGGATCTGTGTGTATATTCTGCATTTATATTTCTTATAAAAGGTATTTGCAATTAAATCACTGATTATACAAAATTCTATCATTCTATGTCCAGCCTCACAAAATCTGGCACAATTAGACAATGGAATATTACTCAGCCAGGATGAGAAATGCAGTCTGGATCTTAGCTACAATAACGGATGGAACGTTCAAGACATTATGCTGAATAAAGTAAGTCAACAACAAAAGGACAGATATTGTCTACCTTCACTTATATAAAAAGACCAAAGAAGCAAATGTACAGATATGAAAATCAATTAATGGTTATCAGGGTTTATGAGGTTTTCAATGGCCAGTTATTTCAGAAGTGGATGGCAAATCCTTCTTAGTCTGTCTTAATCTGAAAGCTTTTATTTTTATTAAAATACAGGTGGCACAAGCTCCAGCCCACAGTAGCCAGCATTCTACTTTATTAGAGCACTGACAGACAAGTACTGCACTCAGAAGTGCAAACTATGAGCAAGCAAGCACATATATACACAAATTACAAAGCAAGCTGCACCACACAAGTTCTTCCCTCCCACCCTTTCACCTACTCCACCTCATCCCAGCCTGCCTCCAAGTTGGAGAAGAATGCTGAACAGCCCACAGACTGCTAAAAGAACAAACAGATATGTGTTGGAGAAAGTGTAACCAGAATGTTTCTTGGAGGCAAAGTTGATTAAGCTTCGTCTCACCTATATTGGACATATTGTTAGGAGAGGCTGTTCCTTGGAGAGGAATATCATGCTTGGAAAGGTGAAGGGCCAGCAAAGGAGAAGACCCTCAATGAGATGGAGTGATGCAGTGTCTGAGGCAATGGACTCAAATGAGTCTAGGCCGGTGAGGATGGGAAGGATAGAACAGGATCAGATCTATTGTTCATGGGGTCACTATGAGAGGCGCTTGACTTGATGGCACTTAACAACAAAAACAGGGGCAAGAAGGAGGAGGAAAATGAGGAGAGAGCAGTTAACAGTGATGGAGGGAAATGCAATGTAACTGTAATTATTACAATTACTGTCAGTAAATGGAATATTTGTGATTTTTATGAAAAACTAAAAGACAAATTGCATTGGGAAAATCTCCTGTCAGAGACCTCTCCAAAGTACTGAAGAGCAACTATGTCACTAGAGACTAAGATGCACTTGATGCAGGCCATGGTCTTTACAAGCACTTGCTATGCATCAGAGAGCTAGACAATGACTGGGGATGACAGAAGGAAAAATGATGCCTTTGAGCTGTGGTGCTGGAGAATACTGAATGTACCATAGACTACTCAGAAAACATACAGGTTCATCCTAGAGAGGTTGAGATGCTCCTTGAAGGCAAGGATTCTGAAGCTTCGTGTGACATACTTTGGACATGTTGCAAGAAGGGGTCAGTCCTTAGAGAGGGACGCCATGCTTGGGAGGGTAGAGGAACAGCACAGGAGGGGAAGGCCCTCTATGAGGTGGATTGATTCAGTGACTGGGATTAAGGCAGTGGGTGTGCTGGAGAAAATAAGATTGGTGATGAATAGAGCAGGGTATAGGGCTGATGTACATAGGGTCACTTCACTACGAGTTGTAAGCAAGTTGATGGCACATAACAACAACAACCACAACAATATGATTTGTAAACCTTCACTCAAGTAGAAGTAAAATAAAATTGTTCACCTGTAAAAGGCTGAATTGGCAAAATTGGTATGAATGATGACCCCCCAAAAAAGTAGTCCCTGAGGCTGCTTGCCTACAATCAAACACCCCCTGGGATTTGGTTTTTTGATTTGGAGGTTTAGAGACACAATTTCTTAGGAAATTTCAGTAAGATGGACAATAAATTTAGTAGGGAGCTCTGGTAGCCAAGTAGTATGAAACTGCACTGCCATCCCAAAGGCACACGGTTTGAAGAAACTAGTTGCTCCAAAGATAGACAATCTCCTCCCACGTGGTTAACTGCCTCTGACCCTTGGAGGGCCAGCTATGGGTTGGTTCTGACTCATTTGTACACAATAACAATAATAATAGGTTTGGTAATACTTCCTAGTTTGTTGCATAGCACTCGGGGTTTTACAAGCTTACATGTGGCCACCAAGGCATATCAATCAGTCTCGACTCACCTAAAGCAAATAAGGAGAAAAGAGTCAAGAATAGGAGGAAGAGAAGACATGTATGGTTAATTGCCTTCACAAACAACTGCCTCCTTTGCCATGAGACCAGAAGAAATAGATGGTGTCCAGCTACCATTACTGAACATTTCAATCAAAGGTTACACACAAGAATCCTTATCAAGAGGAAAGTATAGAACAGAATTCCAAATCCTCATAGATTCTATGCTTTCTGGAGCTATGGACAGTGAAAGAACCCCTGAAATACTGTCCTGAGAAAGAAAACCTATCAACCTCAAACCAAAAATATCTCTAAAGTAACCTTAAATAAAACCCAGCAATAATTTTGCTTAATTAGTATTAAAAAGTCAGCATTGAGCATTGTGCCCTCTTAAGATCTGTCTATTCAGAATAAAATTGCTAACAGCAACTCAAAAGATTAGGTAACCTAAGAGTTTATGTTAAAGCATGGGGAACAAGGTAGTTCTGGGAAACAAAGGAAGAAAGGGATGGTGAAAATGACTACATAACTAGAAGAATGTATTCAGTGTCAATAAACTGTACATAAACTGTTGAATTGCTGTGTGCTTGGATATGGATAGTCTCAAGGAAAAAAGTAAATGTGGAGAGAAAGTTTATCACTTGAGTTATGCAACATTCTGAGAAACAAAGCAAGACCTCCATATTTTTCTATTCAGCAAAAGCAAACCAACAGACCCGTGAAATCCCCAGCCAGATTCCCAGCAGCTGGAATTGACAGCCCACTCTCTTGCCTGCTGTAGCTCACTGATAAACTTGTTCTTATCTTCTATCAGTCCAGCACAGCGCAGTTGCTGGGCATTGAGGGTGTCCCATAGATCCTGGGGAATCTTCTTCTGTTTGCCCTCCTTCCACTTGGCGGTGATTTCATCCAATTTGTCCTGGCTTCTCCTAACTTCGTTCTTCAGCTTCTCAAGTCTGGAAATACAAACATGTCAGCCATTCCAGCCCAGAAGGAAACATAAAAGCTCCCCAGATGTGACCTTGCAATAGAACAGGCAGGTTGTCGAGCATCTGTAACATGGTACCCTACACCTATGCACCACCTTCACACCAAAAACTCAAAGCAAGCCCACTGCCATTGACTTGGTCTCTACTCATGGTGACCTTTCATCAGGTTTCTGAGGTTGTAACTCTACAAGAAGACACTGTCCATATGTCTTATAAGAAGCACCTGATGGATTTAAACTGCCAGTGTTTAAGTAGTACATCACACACCACATCAGGAGTGATCCTAGCTATGAATGGATGGAGAGATGGATGCATGGATGGAAGGGAGGGAGGGAGGGAAGAAAGGAAGAAGGAAGAAGGAAGGAAGGGAGGAAGGGGGGGAGAGAGGAAAGGAGGGAAGGAGGGAGGGAGGGAGGAAGGAAGGAAGAAGAGAGAAATGTAAAGACATTTTGGTCAAGTGCTTTTGAGTAAACAGTGACAGACCTATAAGAATTTGGCACCTGGTCACAGGAGTAGCATATCTTGTGTTCCAGTTCTGACTTTATATAAGACTTTTCAGCTTAGACAAGCTGCTTAACTTGCTCTGCAAGCCTCATTTTGGCTATCCAAATGATGGAAAGGATGAAAGTATCTACCTTTATGCTACTATTCTCATGATTAAATGAGACCAGGCACAGGACAGGTGTTCAGGTAGCAAATGTTACATTATCAGCTCACAGGAAGCAAAATGTCTTCAAAGGCCTGGCCACTCTTCTGCCAACTATTTCATAAATGACCAGTGAAATGTACAAACAGGGGAAACTCCACCATTAGAAATGGAAAATAAATAGGGATGAATTTCGTAGAAATCTGTTAGAAACTTAATCATGGAGGATAATAAGGATGGAACCAGCTGAAAAGAGGCCCATTCTGAGACATGGGCCAGAGATTCTTCCCCAGAAGACCCTGTAGGAGATGGACTGACTCAGTGACTGGGGTGAGGGGGTGGGTGTGTCAGAGACAATGAGGTTGGCTCAGAATAAAGCAGGGTTCAAACCTGCTGTATATGGGGTCTCTATGAGTCGCAAGCTACTCAATGGCACATAACAACAATCTTATCTTGTTCCCAAATAAGACTACAAACAGAGGCCTCAACTCACATACCTTGTGTACCTCTTCTCCCTTCTCTTTCCCATCCCAACCAGGTGAGGACACATCAACCCACTTTCAAACATGTGGCTCATGGTGACCTTGTCACCCACTCACTTATTGTCACTGAGTCGGAATGACTCTAGCCGAATGTCTGCGGGGTTTGTGAGGTTATAAACCACACAGGAGACACCTGTCCATATTTCCCCAGTGGAGCTGTGGGTAACTTTGAACTTCCAGACAGGTGTAGCATTTGAGTTAGCAGTACAGCTCCCTAAGGGCTGTATCCCCAGAGCCCTCTCATGACCCTAGAAGACAAAGTGAAATTGCCCCAGAGAGTTTGCAAAGCTGTAACTGTTGACTGAAACTGTCTTCTCTCACGCTCCCTCAGAGCACCTGGTATGCCTGAACCACTGACCTTCCCATTACCAGCCAACTGTTCAACCACTCCATCACCAGGGCTTTTTTTTTATATCATTCAACTCTTTTTTTAAAAAAAAAATAATCTTTTCATGAGAAGCATCAGGGCATCATTCCAAAATTAACTCGGCTGCTTAAAATTTAAAAATGGAAATGTTTCTTCTTGCTTTTGCTTTCAAATGGAGCCCAATCTCCTTAGCATGGCTTTTGGGGCCTTTCACGAGCTGACCTCGCTGGAGAGCAGTTATATCAGTGTCTGGTACACCCCCTGAGAGACAGTGGGCCGTTTCAAAAGTAAGGTCTCTACTGGTAAACACTGGTCAAACTGCTGGTAAGAAAACCTTATGCTGCATGACTCAAATCATTGTTGTAAGAATTTAAGTAAGGACCTCTGCTCCTAATGATATCAGTCTTCTGCGTGCAAGCTAAAGGGGTTCAGTCCTTCTAAGCAGCTTACAAAGAGCTCTGTGGCACTATGGGTAAGCACTGTGAACTGAAAAGCTGGTGCTTTAAACTGAGAAGCTGGAAGTTTTAATTTCCCAGGAAAAAGACCCAGAGATCTAGCTAAGTAAAGATAATAGCCCAGGAAGCCCTTGAGGACAATTCTGCTCTGTCACACTGGGTCACTCTGAGTTACAACTGATTTGATGGGAACCAGTAAGAAGCAGGAGCTTACTCCTCACTATCAGGCAACTTGAGACCTGGGCAGAGGACATGCCAGGTAGTTAGCCTGCTGAGAATTGGAAATGAAGAGTTAGACATGGGTTCCTCTTATTCTTCTCATCTTTTCTTTTTCTAGGCATGGATTATTTCATATACTTAACAGAGTGCTGCCATGACTCAGAGACGAACTGAGTTTGCTGCAGCCACAATGCAGAGTACTAACCACTAAGCCATCATGGCCATGCACAGGCATTTCACTGTGGGGACCACCACACATTGTGGCTAACCTTGAGAAGAATGGGAAACCATAATTGCCACCCAAGCAGATATATGCACACCCATGTTTATCACAGCTTTGTTCACAATAGCAAGGAGTTGGAAACAACCTAAGTGCCCATCAACAAACGAATGAATACAGAAGCTGTGGTATATTCACACATGGAATACTACGCTGCATTGAAAAACAAGGAACTCATGCAATATTACTAAAAATGGACATTACACTGAAAGAAATATCTCAGTCATAAAAGGACAAATACTGCGTAGTGCCAGTATTATAAAATGGGACTGACATCAGGGTTGGGAGGAGACTGAGAAAGATGGGATAAATTATGTATACTGCATTGAAACAGATGAGACAGAGAACTGTTTAAAAGCGATATATGATTAGGTATTATGGTTATGACAAGAGTCCAGAATGAAGGTTGCATAGTGGAATGTACTCGTGGGGGGGGGGGGATTGTATACCAATGAAAGAATTTTTCTTTTACTTTTCAAAGAGAAGAGTGTACTGGGGGAGGGGTGGGCAGGAAGAAAAGTGCAACAATGAATAAACGGAAATCCAAAATCTCTGTAAATGTTCATTAAAATTATTTTTTTAAAAAAATTCAACTAAAAAAAATGGGAATTCCAGAACACTTGGTTGTGCTCATGTGAAATCTGTAACAGGAGCAGTAGTCAGAATAGAGTAAGGAAATTGTGCATGATTCAAAATCAAGAAAAGAGTGCATCTAAGATGTATCCTGTACCCATATCTTTTCAATCTACATGTGGAACATATCTTGTGGGAGACTGGACTCTGTGAAGAAAAACGTGTCACAGGATTGTAGAAAGACTCATCAATAACCTGTGTTATGCAGACGACACAACCTTGCTCACCGTAACTGAGGAGGACTTGAAGTGTTTGCTGCAGAAGGTCAGGAACTGCAGTCTTCAGTATGGATTGCCTCTCAACATCAAGAAAACAAAGGTTCTCACCAATGGGCCAACTGGTAGCATCATGACAGATGGAGAAGATATTGAGGTTGTTAACAGTTTGATCTTGCTTGGGTCCACAATCAATACTCTTGGCATCAGTAGTCAGAAAATCAAAAGATTTTCTGGAAAAGCATACTGTCAGGGACCTCTCCAGAGTGCTAAGGAGCAACTACATCAGCCTAGAGACTAAGGTGTACCTAATCCAAACCATGGTCTTTTCAATTACTTGCTGTGTATCAGAGAGCTACACAATGACTAAGGATGACAGAAAAATTGATGACTTTAAACTATGGTGTTGGAGAAGAGTACTGAACATACCATTGTCCACCAAGAAAAAAAAACAGGCCTTTCCTGGAAAGGATGAAACCAGTTGCTCCTCGGATACAAGGATTGTGAAAGTCCATCTCACATAGTTTAGGAATGTGGCCAGAAGGGACCAGTCCTTAGAGAAGGACATAATGCTTGGAAGGGTGCAGGGTCAGCACAGGAGGGTCTGGTGTGTAAGAGACAGTGAAGCTGGTACAAGATAAGGCAGGATTGAGTGCTATATTGTTCACAGGGTTGCTAGGAGTCATAGTTGACTCTATAGTACATAACAACAGCAATACACTGCTATATTTGTATATAGGAAGCTCTGGTGGTCTAATGGGAAGGAGCTGAGCTGTCAACCGAAAGGCATGTAGTTCAGATCCATCAGCTACTCCTTCAGAGAAATACAGGCAATTTCCTCCCATGCAATTTACTGTCTCTGGAAACCCAATGGAGGGTGAGATATAGGTTGGTTCCAATTCAATTATACACAACAACAACATTTGTACATAGTACCAAGATGTTTATGAGCCTGATCATTTGGATTAACTTCAACTCAGGACAATCTATTTATTCAGCTTTGTTTCTTTCCACCTACCACCACCCACTCCCACAAACCTTTCACCATCATGCCATTCCTAAGTTACATCATGTGGTCTCATGCCTGTGGTTCAAGTTATGTCCTCTGCCTCACATACCCACTCCTCAAACTCTTATTCACCCTTGATGGCCCAACCCAAAGATTTCTTGCCAGGAAGTTTTCTCTAATCTCTGCAGAAGAAATTGAAGGCTTTAGACGTTGTTCCAAACATATACTTGCAAAGCTAGAAGGTCAGCAAAAGAGCAGAAGCCCCTCAGTGAGATGGATTGACACAGTGACTGCAGCAATGGGCTCAAGCGTGTCAGAGATGATGAGGACGGCACAGGATAGCACAGGGTTCAGATCCATTGTTCGTAGGGTCACTATGAGTCTCACTCAACCAGACAGCACCTAACAACAACTGCTATATATGTATGTAGTTCCGTAGTTTTTTCTACATATATTTTTCTTTGAAAACATATCATGGTTGAATGTTTCCATTGTCTACCTCTTCAGTCAGAGTGTGAGCTTCATACGCAGAGGCCCTGTTTCACTCCGGTTTGTATCCGCAGAACATGACAAATGTTAGGAATGTAATCCTCGAGGGAGAAAGGGGGGGAGAGACAGAGGAATCAGGAAGGGCGTGGAGAGAATTCTAACGTGTGAAGCTTGGCAAAACCACGGTTAGTGACTGGTGACTGTAAGGACCAATGGGGAGCTCTGGGGACGCAGTCTGTGGAGAGTTGCATTGCCCACCTAAAGGCCATGTGCTTCTTCGGTGGTTCAGAACTGAGCCGCCAATTACCTCAAGGGAGAAAGACTGGAGAGTCTCCTTCTGTGCAATCAACTCCCTTCTGTGAGATCAGCAGCCTTGGAAACCCCTTGGAGGGTGAGCTAGGAGTCAGAACTGACCAAAGACGATGAGGAAGGGAGAGATTCCTCTTCCAGCCCATCGGCATGCACAGCAGGGAGCTCCTCACCTCTGATGCTTAATCTCCTCTTCTTCAACTCTCCGCTGGGTCTCTCTCATCTCTGCAGTCACCTGGATATTTGTCACCAACTCAGTGCCACAGAGCAGTACTTTAGCTAATTTCTGCAAAGAAATAAGAATTTATAACATTAAAACACTTTGTAAAAGTGCTGCAAAACACTTTTGTTAAAGAATATGCTTCACTCCACTGTTTGTAATTCTTCTGTCCAACTAAGTAGGAATTAACAGCTACCTTGAGACTTTTAAAGTTACTTTAGTGAAGTCCAGGCTAAGTATTGGACTCCTAACCGAAAGATCTAGAAAAAGCCACCAGTCCTTTACGGGAGAAAGATGAGACAATTTTCTAGTGCTAATAGTCATTGCCTCAGAAACCTGACAGAGTCACTATGGGTCAAATTGATCTGGCAGCTGTGGGTAAGGCTTTTAACAGTAGCTCTGTGCAGCTGTCTTCTTCTATTAGTACATCTGTGATGCATTTTAATAGCACTTTTACATTTTAAACACACTTTGTATTTAGAGTAGGTACTGTATTATGTTAACATTAGAGGATTCATTTTCTATGTTAGTATCAGGGAAGCCATTTTGTTCTGAGAGACCTTTTAAGAAATGTATGACTTTATAATTTTGACAATAATATGTACCGGTAAGGATTATCTTTCTCAGTACCTGCTGACCCAGCTTGGTTACTGCTCCCTGACTACATCCTGTACCTGGCCAGGGGCCTGGACACCAGTGAAGAATCAGAAACAATAATGACTCCCAAATGGGAAGAAATCCCAACTCCCAAGCTCAATGAACTTTGTGTAATCCCCATGCCCAATTTCTGTATAAGAACCCAATCTTTGCTTCCCCTGGGGGTTCGAACGGTTAGGGCAATGGCTGACGTTCTCAGTTTGTTACTCTCCAATATTGGCTGAGTGGTTTTTTTCTTCCGTAACAGTACCAGCAGCCAGGAAATCCAAAGATGAATTGCATTGGGAAAGTCTGCTGTCAGGGACTTCAGAGAACTGAAGAGCAACAATGTCAGTCTGGAGACTAAGGTGTACCTGACCCAGGCCATAGTTTTTGAAATTACTTGTTATGTGTCAGAAAGCTGGACAATGACTAGGGATGATAGAAGGAGAGTTGATGCCTTTGAACTATGATGCTAGAGAAGAGTATTGCATATACCATGGACTGCTAGGAGAGCAAATAGGTCCGTCCTAGAGAGGATTAAACCAGGCTGCTCCTTGGAGGCAAGGATTCTGAGGCTTTGTCTGACATTCTTTGGGCATGTTGCAAGGAGTGGCCAGTCATTGGAGAAGGTTATGATGCTTGAGAGGGTGGAGGGAGAGCACAGGAGAGGAAGACCTTCAGTGAGATGAATGGATTCAGTGACTGGGGGTAATGAAGATAGGTGTGTCAGAAACAATAAGGTTGGCACCAGATAGAGCAGGTTTCACGGCTATTGTACATAGAGTCACTATGATTCACAAGCAACTCGACAGCACATAACAATAACAACAACAGTTTATGCTGATGTAATACAGAAGAATGAGGTCTTTAAAGCAGTGCTGGATCAATTAAAAATTCATATAGGAAACAGGAAACTTCGAATTCTCCTCTTACACACACAAACAATGCTGAGAATATTATAAACCTAAATGGAAATAAGGGAGAGCTGGTGGCCTAGTCTGTAGAATGTGGGACTGTTAAGCCAAGGCTTAGCTTTTTGGAAGCTGGAATCCACAAGTGTGTCCTCCAGAGAAAGATAAGGGGCAAATTCTTCCCTCTGAAAACCCACAGAGGGGTCAACAGTGAGTCAGTTCTGACTCAGTAGAAATGACAGGAGAAATGCAAAGTTTTTTTAAAGGGCAAGACTCTAGAACAAAAATAAAATACACTGGATACAAAAAGATACTTTTAAAAAAAAAAAAAGCTGATAAACTTCAGGGCTGAGGGCAGAAGCCCCTCCTCCCCAGGCCTCAGTCCAGCCCAAAAAAATCAACCCTTTTGTACTGAAGAATATAGCACTTGCTATAACATTTCTCCTTCTGGCCAAAATGCTTCCCGACTAAAGTCCTAAGCAGAAGGAAATTTGAAAAGCTGATCATGAAATCAACATTATCTCTCTGGTTTTTTACATTCAGTTGAATAGTAGTACTCAGGGTGAACTGCCAGATGTGCAAGCTGGGTTTAGAAGAGGCCGTGGCACTAGGGATATTATAACTAATGTCAGATGGATCTTAGCTGAAAGCAGAGAGTACCAGAGGAATGTCTATCTGTGTTTCATTGACTATGCAAAGGTATTTGACTGTGTGGATCACAACAAACTGTGGCTAATCTTAAGAATAGGAATCCCCAGGGCACTTGATTGTGCTCATATAAAACCTATACTTGGACCAGGAGGCAGTTGTCAGAACAGAGCAAGGAAACACTCCATGGTTCAAAATCAGAAAATGTGTGCATCAGAGATGCATCCTATCTCCATCAGAGATACATCCTATCTACATACCTACATATTTACCAGACAGAACAGATCATTCAGGGGCCTGGACTTTATGAGGAGGAATGTGGCATAAGGATTGGAAGAAGACTCATAAACAATCTGCATTATGTAGATGCCACAATCCTGCTTGCTGAAACTGAGAAGGACCTGAGGTATTTGCTGCAATAATATAAAGGACTGCCGTCTTCTCTATGGATTGAAGTTCAACGTCAAGAAAACAAGGAGTCTCATCACTAGGCCGACAGGCAGCATAATAGATGGAGAAGAGATTAAAATTGTTAACAGCTTTGGCTTGCTTGGTTCCAAAATCTTGGCACCAGCAAGCAGGAAATCAAAATATTAATTCCATTAGGAAAATCTGCTCTAATGTCAGGGCCCTCTCCAGAGTGCTAAAGAGCAACAATGTCAGTCTAGAGACTAAGATGCACCTGATCCAAGCCATGGTCTTCAAAATTACTTGCTATGTATCAGAAAGTTGGACAGTGAATAAGGATGACAGAAGAAACATTGATGCCTTTGAGTTTTGGTGCTGAAGAATGTTAAACATACCATGGACTGCCAAGAGAACAAACAGGTCAGTCCTGGAGAAGATAAACCCAAGCTGCTTCTTGGAGCCAAGGATTGAAGCTCTGTCTCACATACTTTGTGCATGTTGCCAGGATGGTCCAGTCCTTGGAGAAGGACATCATGCTTGGAAAGGCGGAGGGCCAGTGTAGGAGAGGAAGACCCTGGATGAGATGGATTGACTCAGTGACTGGGATAACGGAGGTAGGTGTGCCAGAGACAATGAAATTAGCTCAGGATAGGGTTCAGAGCTGTTTTACATAGGGTCACTATGAGTCACAGGTGACTCGACTGCAATAACAACAAGATGAAATGTATAATAGTAGTTTTAATCAAATATTACTTTTTTCCTGTACAGAAATACTCAGAGATCACTGAGTCTTTAGATAAATATACCAAATTTCAAAGAGGCGACATGGATTATCTAGTCCACAATGAGAAGCAGAGCTGGAACAAGAACCCCTATAAATCCTATATTCTTTACTCTACACTATCTTTTCCTTACACAGTTTTGGACTCAAATTCACTATCATCAAGTTAGAACCAACTCACAGCTGACTTTCCAGTGGGTTTTTGGAAGCTGTCAGTTGCACAAGAGGAGATTGTCCATCTTTCTCCCCTGGAGCCACTGGAGTATCCAAACCACCAGAGAGGTGCCACCTCAGAATTAACAACACAGCTCCCTACAGACTACACCCCAGAGCTCCCAACAGTAGAGGACAAGTTCAACAGTAGAGGACAGTTATCTCTATAATAAAATTTCAGTGACATTATCCTCCCAGTAAATACACTTCCATTTCCACTAGAAATTATCTTCTTCTCACCCACCTTTATAAATTCTACCTGTTTTCATGGAGCCTTGCTCCAGTCTCACTATCACCACACAGCCTTCCCTGTCCAGCCGGGTGAGTTCTTTGCCATACCTCAGCCCCCGCACTTGACTCTTATCCTACGTACACATTTTAATTTAGTAATTCATTTGAGACAACATTTTGCCAGTTCTGGCTTGCTGTTCTGAGTAACTGTTTATTCCTTCTGCTCATGCTGTTCCAAACACTTTATTAAATATCCCAAGAGCCCTGTCATTGCCATGGGAGAGCAATCACTTCCTTCTCAACATTTACTGAGTACAGTCATGTGCTACTCCACAGTTACACAAAGATGCAGAGATTACAAAGGATAAGGCCTTCAATCTCAAAAAGCAGAGAATATCATTGAGAAGACTGCATGCACACACATTTGAAAACTTATATAAGGAAAAAGAACAGAATGAAACTAGCAGCAGACAAAAAGAATTAAGATAAGCAGCTTAAAGGAGTTGAAGCTGGACTGAGGAAAAAGTAAAGGAGGAGTTGGGACCTGAGATGGCCTTACAGGATGATGAGGCAGCCTGATAAAAGGAGGGGAGAAAAAAGAAGATAATATGTTGTTGCTGTTGTTGTTGTTGTTGTTACATGCCATCAAGTCACTTGTGACTCATAGCAACCCTATGTACAAGAGCTCTGAACCCTGCTCGATCCTTGTTGTCTCTGTCACACCTACTACCATTATTCCAGTCACTGAATTAATCCATTGATCGAGGGTTTTCCTCTCTTTTACACTGTCCCTCCACCATCTCAAGCATGATGTCCCTCTCCAAGGACATGCCCAAAGTATGTCAGACAAAGTTTCAGAATCCTTGCCTCCAAGGAACAGCCTGGTTTCACCTCTCGAAAGAACCTGTTTGTTCTCTTTGAAGTCTGGTATATTCAGTACTCTTCTTCAGCACCACAGCTCAAAGGCATCAATTCTCCCACTATCATCCCTAGTCACTGTCCAACTTTTTACTTGCATACAAGTAATGGCCTGAATCAAGCAACAGTGTCAGTCTTTAGACTGGAGAGGTCCCTAACAGCAGATTTTCCCCACTGTAATTCGTCCTTTGATTTCCTGGCTGCTGGTACCAGGAGTATTGACTGTGGAGCCAAGTAAACTGAAACTGTTAACAATCTCACTCTCTTCACCAATCTATTATAATTCTGCCAGTCTGCCCAGAGGTGAGAATCTTTGTTTTCTTGATATAGTGCTTTCATTCATATTGAAGGCTTCAGTCCATGACCTTCTGCAGCAGGCACTTCAGGTCCTCCTCAGTTTCAGCAGGCAAGGTTGTGTCATCTGCATAACATAGGTTGTTGATACATCTTCCTCCATCCCTGATGGCACATTCCTCCTCATTGCACCCATCCTCCCAGATGATCTGTTCTGCATATAGATTGAAAAGGGATGGGGATGGGACATGTCCCTGCCATATAGCCTTCCCCATCTTGAACCATGTAGTGTTTCCTTACTCTATTCTGATGACTGGCTCCTTGTCCAAGTATGGGTTTCGCATAAGCACAATCAAATGTTCTGGGATTCCCATTCTTCTCAGAGTTAGCCAGTTTGTTGTGATCCACACAGTCAAATGCCTTTGCGTAGTCAATGAAACACAGAGAGACATTCCTCTGGTACTCTCTGCTTTCAGCCAAGTTCCATCTAACATTTGCTATAATATCCCTAGTACCACGACCCCTTCTAAACCCAGCCTGCACTTCAGGCCGTTCTCTGATGCTGTGCTGTTCCAGCTGTTTTTGGATCATTTTCAGCAGACTCTCGCTTGCATGTGATATTAATGATATTGTTTTATCATTTCCACACTCTTGTTGGTTCACCTTTTTTGGAAAGGGAATAAATATGGATCTCTTCCAGTCGTTGGCCAGGTGGTTATCCTCCGGATTTCTTGGCACAACTTGGTAAGCAAATCCAGGGCAGTGTCTGTTTGTTGAAATATGTCAATTGACGTACCGTTTATTCCTGGAGATTTGTTTCTTGCCCATTTCTCCAGAGAAGCTTGAACTTCCTCCTTCATCAACACAGGCTCTTGCTCATCTGTTGTTTCATGAAATTTCTCTGTGTCAGCTAATTCCTTTTGGTACAATGAGTCTGTATACTCCTTCCATCTTCTTTAAATGCCTCCTGAATCATTTAACATTCTGCTCAAAGTATCCTTAAGTACTGCAACTTGAGGCTTGAATTTGTTCTTCAGTTCCTCAAGCTTAAGAAATACTAAGTGAGTTCAGCCTTTTTGATTTTCTGACTCCAGGTCTTTGCACATTTCATTATAACACCTTGTCTTCCTGTGCTGTTCTTTGAAATTTTCTGTTCATCTTCCTAATTTCTTTATTTCTTCCCTTTGATTTGTCTTCTTGGTGCTCTAGTGCAATATTCAGAGTCTCTTCTGACATCCATCTTGATCTTTTGTTCCTCCCTGCTTTTATAATGACTTTTTGCATTCTTCATGGCTGATATTCTTGATATCTTCCCACAGCTCATCTGGTCTTCACTCATTAGTGTTCAATGCGACAAACCTCTTCCTGAGATGGTTTTGAAATTCAAATGAGTTAGACTCAAGGTCAAATTTTGTTTCATGTGGATTTCATTTTCTTTAGCTTCAGCTTGAACTTGCATATGAGTAGTTGGTGTTCTGGTCCACAATCAGCACGTGGCCTAATTTCCACATCTGATATTGAACTTGTCCAGCGATTCTTTCCACAGATGTAATTGATCTGATGCCTATGCATATCATCAGGTGAAATCCATGTGTATAATCTGTGTTTATGTTTCTTATAAAAAGAGAAGAGGAAGGATGAGGATTGGCATTCTACATAAAAAGAGTAAGTACAGGCAAAGTCACAGGCCACTACCATGGAGGTGTGTGAGGGGGACAGGTCAGCCAAAACGAAAGACTCAAACCTGGCAAGGACATACAAGGGGAAAGTTGAGCATAGACTATAAAATGCCTGGACTGTTGGGCTTAAAAAGAAAAAAAATTTTAAAAAAAGGAAAAAGAAAAGAAAAAGAAAAAAATTCTATCTTATCCCATAAATAATGAATATCCACTAGTTGTACTGCCAACCCAAAGATGTGGCTTGAATCCACCAGCAGCTCTGAAGAAGAAAGATGGACAATCTCCTCCCATGAAATTTACTGCCTCTGAAAACCCACTGGAAGGTCAGCTATACATCAGTTCCAACTCAACAGTACATAACAACTGCAAGAAAAAAACCAAGCCAACTATATGAGGAAAAAAGTGTATGAGCTGAGAAACTGTAGCATGAGAATAAGCAAGTGTTATAAGAAACTTCACTTTAAAGATAAGTTACCAAAATAAGAGAGAGCTGACTTCCAGAATTCAGCTCAGCCTAGAGACAAGACGACAGGACACATGAGCTCACTAATAGGAAAGCCAGGCTCTCACACTTGCCTCCAAGCCTTATAGGACTAACCCATTTGCTACTCAATTCATACCAGTCTGCTTTCTTCTTTCTGTTTGTAGCTCTTGCTTTGTTCTTCCTCACTCTCCTTTTTCCCATCTACATATTCTCCAAGCACTTCCCTGTAATGGAAAAAGGCGGAGAAACTGAAGTTATTTTTAGTACTAAAATTTTCTATTCGAAAATACCATAGTACTTTACACAAAGCACAAAAATTAAAATCCATATAGATAAAATATAAGTATTTTTTAAATGTCACAACCATAAAAAGGTCCAAATCAATAAGACAGTTGGTTTAATTACCATTGGAAAATGCTATGCTTGTCATTCCTCTGTAGCATCTGGTCCCCATTGGACCCTCATCATTTCCTTCACCTGCTCCCCCCACCGACCAAACCGTGCAGCTCTGCAACTGCATCCCTGCCCATCCTCACCCTTCTGCCCCCAACCCTCACCTTCTTGTACCCCCAATATGTTTTTCCCAATAAAAAAAGTAAAAAAAAAAGTTCAAAGTAAATATAGTAGCTGTGAAAACCAAGACTAGGGGGAGGAAAATAGATTGAGATATTTTACTTTCTAAAGGTTTAAAATTCCGTTCACTAAAAACACATCATAAGAGATAAACACATCGAGAAATAAACTGGTTAAGAGATACTTGGGAACATACTACTGTCCACAGAAAAAGAGAAAGTGTCTTCAAATCAATACTAATAGAAAAAGACAAAATACCAAACAGAAAAATTGGCCTAGAGTACATTTTATATCATTGAAATAACTCAGTCACAAAAGGACAAATATTATGTAAGACCGCTAGTGTGAAAACAGAAGGGTGACTGGAGGACAGAACCTGGGTTATAAGGAGAGCAGAAATAAAATGCGCAATGTACACTGTAAAAGATCAGGAAAAGCAAGAGCCAGCCTGGGTAGAATGGAAGAACAAACAATACAAGTACTACAGTTAGTAACCTAGAACAGGATATGTATGAGCTGTTCATATGGGAATAGGGAAGGAGGAAGGAGAAGGTGGGGGAATCCTAGGACAGCAGAGATTAGTGGACAAACAGGTGGGGTGAAGGGATAGGCAAGGTGCAGTGAGGATGTGATGAGACATGGTGATAAAAAGGCACTGATGACTTGTAGTTAATATGATAAAAGCATTAAGTATAAGAATGACTTTGAAAACCAATAAAAAAGAAATATAAATTTTGTAAAATGTGAACAGGCAATTTACAAAGAAATATAAACAGCAAATAGCCATTTGAAAATATGTCCAACTTCACTTATAATCAGAAGAATGAAATTTAAAATCCAGTAAGGCATAATTAGTTTCTTATCAGACTCAAAAAGATTTTAAAGGTGATTAAGATCAGGTGTGGACTTTCACCCTTCCTTCACAGGTGAAAATCTAAAGGTTAACAACCTGTCTGAAAGGTAATTTAGCAGGATTTTTTAAAACCTTTCCATGTGTCTGCCCTTTAAGGAACTTGTAATAATTTTCGTCTGAAAATTTTCAGATGTACACAAAAATAAATATAGAAGAATGATTACTCGAGCAATGACTGTACGGCAAACACAGGGTAATATTCTACACATATTTTAATAGCAGGCTATGGGACAATAATTACATACCTTGTAAAAGTTACATTCATATTTATGGGCATGGGAAGATGTCAACAATATTAAAAGGAACCAGTTGTAGAGTAGTATGTGCAGTATAATACAAATTATGGTTTTTTTTAACTGTGCTTATATATACACATACACAAATCTACAAAATACTGAAGAAACAGAAAACTATTCCTGGAAAAAGAAGAAATTAAGGATTCTATTTCATATTTTATGTTTCTATTGCATGAATTTTACAAATATTTTTACTTTTTAAAAATCAGAAAAAGAAGACTAAAGGCATGGGTGGTAGATAAGGCTCCAAATTGTGGAGTTCTAATAGAAGAGGTACAAGGGAATGAACTTTTCAAACCCCACACCCTAGTATCACTGTTTAAAGGGGGGAAACAAGACATGGGGGCACAGGGCCATGAGCATCTCTCTGAAAGGGCCAGAGGGAGTAAGACTAACACAGTTTCTCATTGCCCCAGAGCAGAAAGCAAATAAAGATCCCACAGCCCAGCCCCATGGTGCCTCTAGAGTCACAGCAGCAGCAAGAGGTTCATTTATTTGTTGCTGACTCACAGATTCACAGTTGTGGTACCAATGCTGGGGCTTATTAGAGAAGGAACAGGGGGAGGCAAAGAATATCTTACTATACAAGTCCAGGCTTTAGCCCAACAGTTCCAAGGCACAATTCCTCAATAAGTCCAGGATCCAGTTTCAGTTCAGCAATCAAATCCAAATCGTCCAGCACGGTTTGCCACAGAGAAGTAATAAGTCAGCTTCTCCTTCAATCATCTGGCAAGAACAGCCAAACCTTTAACTGTGGCCAGCCCAAATGCAAGAAGCCTCAGGTCACAGTTTCTTCATAACAATGTCACAGTCTCTCCACCACTAAAGTCTCACTCTCACCAGGGACTTGCTGCTAAGGCCTTACTCACCTCAAGTCTTGCTGCTACAACCTGAGCTCACCTCAAGTCTTGCTGTCCAATGTGGGAAGCACTCTTTCTCTTATCCTGGTCCCACAGCTGTTGATTATTTGCAAGACCATGCTGATTTGCAAGACCATGTGTATGCAGTAAAGGTAGCTAGCTGGAGACCAGAGAAGACTAACTGTGATGGTTAAAAAGCGTCGCAAAGATCTCACTCTCACCTTTCACACAATGTCCCTGTCAGACTTCACAACTGCCTTAAAATAATTCATTTATCTGATTACATCAACATTTATAATGAAACAAAAAGACCCCTTTTTTCTTTCTTGACTTTTTCCATCTCCATCCTTTTTTGTTCAAAAGGGGAACTTTACAGTATTACAACCTCTTTGAGTTATTACTACTCATTCTCAATCTCTTAAAACACTTTTTCTGTTATTTTATCACTTGCTTACATTTCTTGAACCTGTCCTTTGTCCTTACTACAAAAACTAATTACATTTCACTCAGTTCTCACTCCAGGCTAATGCCTCCATCCAAAATGCACTCATTCCTGATGTCCTACTTTGACCAACCAGTAATTACAAATATTTTTTAACTAACTCCTTCCTGAAGAAAAGATCAGTGCTTCAAGAAAAGAACTTATACAGAGCAGATCTACTACATATTCTTAATATCCAGTTTCAACTGGAATCATTTTTATTGCCTTTTACTCAGCATTTTTGACCACTTAGAAAGGTTTTTAAGTTGTTGGCACTCTCATCATCTCACCAACTCATCATAGCTGTCAAGCCAGAATTGACTCATATCTGAACCATCAGTGGATTTTCTGATATGGTAAATCACAGCAGAGAAGATCATCCATCTTGAGGAGTTGTTGGTGGATTCGAACTGCCAAAGAGGCACAACTCCTTACCGTTAGCAGTGCAACTCCTCACAGACTACACGAAGAGAGTCAACACTGTCCAATATGGTAGCCTCTACTGACATAGAGGGGAGCTCTGGTGTCTAACTTTGAGAATTATTTGCTAAATACAGACTGGAAAGGTATAAATAAAGCAAGCAACTGAAACACACCTTTCCTAATTTTAAATCATGCAGTGTTACCTTCTTTTATGAAAACAAATGCTTCTTGGTCTATGTATAGGTTTAGCACGTGTACTATTAAGTATTCTGGAATTCCGTTCTTCTCAATGCTCTCCTTAATTTGTTATGATTCCCAAAGGCAAATGCCTATAGTTTAAATAACCATAGTGCCTAGTTTGTTATAGATTATCTTAACAATAGTCATTTTTAAAAATCATGGTAAGCAAAGAAAAGATTGAAATTGTCAAGGATTACCTTTCACTTGGATCCACCACCAACATATATGGAAGCAGTACTCATAAAATTTAAAAATTTATTGCAATTTTGCTGCAAAGGATCTCTTTAAATTGCTAAAGAGCAAGGGTGTCAATGGAAAGACGAAACTGTATTTGGCTTAAGCCATAGTATTTTCAATTACTTTATACACATGTAAATGTTGGATGATTAATAAGAAAAGCTGGCAAAGAATTGATTGATCTAAATTGTGGTGTTGGTGAAGCATATTTAATGTACTGCCCAAAGAACAAACACCTTTCTTGGAAGAAGTATAGCAAGGGAGCAACTTAGAGACAAAGAGAATGAGACTTCATCTCACCTACTTTGGGCATGTTATCAGAAGACGCCAGTCCTTGGAAAAGAACATCATGCTTGGAAAATTAGCCCATCAAAGAAGAGGAAGTCCCGCAATTAAATGGTCTGGTAGAGTGACTGGAGCAATGAGCTTAAACACAGGGAAGATTGTGAGGATGTTACAAGATAGGACAGTGTATCATCCTGTTAATATAGGACCCCTATAAGCTGGAGCTGACTAGACAGCCCTTAACAATAAAATAATGGTATAACCACCCTACCACTACCATAACCAAGAAGTTCCTTTTATGTTATCCATCCTATTCTGAACATGTATGGCTCATTTTCAAGCTTCAGTTTCATCCCTCTACAGAGGTTACCTTCTCTGGTAAACTACCTATAGGGTTCACATATATCCTTGCTCCTTGCTTATTTCTTTCCTTTATCACACATTTTAATTTTGTGATTTGTTTACTTTTTCCTTCCTGTATTCCTCATTAGGATAGAGGTTTTTAAGAGAAGTTACTGTATCTATCTTGTCCTTCACTGAATCCCAGGACAATGGCATAGCTGGAGTGTTAAACAAAGACAAGACTGAAGGTCAAAATCGTTTTGACCCACACCACAACAAGATAAAAGTAAACAACCCAATCACAAAATTGGCAAAGGATATGAACAGACACTTCACCAAAGAAGACATTCAGATGGCAAACAAACACATAAAGAAATTTTTAAAACCCCTAGCTCTAAGAGAGATGCAGATCAAAACAACTATGAGATATCATCTTACTCCAGTAAGAATAGCAAAAGTCAATGGAGCAACAAACGCCAAATGCTGGCAAGGTTGTGGAGAAACTGGAATCCTTATTCACTGTTGGTGGGAGTGTAAAATGGTGCAGCCCCTGTGAAAAGCAGTATGGCGCTTT